TCTTGTCTGTCTCGCAGCTCCGAGTGTTTGTGGGGGGGGGGGGGGGGGGGGGGGGGGAAGCTGTTACCCTGCCAAGAACCCCTTTCCGCATTTAATCCATCTCTGGTACCACTCCCTGCTTTTCGAAGCAGAGGAGGCTTGAGCCACTGAGCAACAAAATGGAGCAAGCATACATTTACTTTACTATGTACAACTGAACTTTGTGCACAGAGAGCTCAGCTTCTTTTTCTTATTTCAGGAGAGTGTCTCTGTCATGAGGGATACATGAAGGATCCAGTGCACAAACACCTCTGCATACGGAATGAGTGGGGAACCAATCAGGGGTAAGTAAAATAACCCAGAATTATAGCCTTTAAGACTGATCAGGAAAGTTGAACTTTTCCAGTCAAAATATCTTTTGTGCACAAATTACTTTTAAAGCAAACCTGTAGTAAAAAGGTAGCTTTTTAATTAGTTACTTTAAACCAATAGCAAGCTCTAACAGGTGCCTGAATATAGTGTTTGTATTCTTCTAATCTAAGGTGTCTTAGAAGCCCTTAAACATGGGATACTCTAATATGTAAATTCCCACTTTAACCAGGAAGTTGGCACTTGGCCCTATCACCTACCAATATTTCCAATTTGTTAATGACCTGGTAATGTCATGGTCAGCCCCACTTACCAATCAAAAGGTATGGTGGGCAGTTCCTATTTGAAGCCAGTATTTGCATTCATCTAATGGGCAGCCTTAATTACCAATTGAAAGGTATGGGGTTAGGTCCATGTGCCAACATCCTTTCTGATGGCAGTATTGGCATATCAAAACACCCAGATTTAAGGGATTTCGGGGCCCTGTACAGGAGCATTAATACTATGTCCAGGCACCTAGAGGTGGCTCAAGATAGTTCAAGCACCTTTTATATGAAACCAACCCATGTTTTCTTCTTTGTTTTTTTTTATAATAAATAAATTTATTTAGCATTTTTGCAAACATTACAGAAATGAGAAGGGTGCTAGCGGTGCATAGACATAGCCAGAGTTTACAAATGTATTCGTTCAGCGGTGTAAAAATGGCATAGCATACATAACATACGAGAAACAGAGTTACAGGTAATTCTTAACGGGTAATATGCAAGACCAGGCGGGAATGACTAATGTCTATGGGGAAGCAGGGGAGTTAAAGCAGTGGGGATTGTGGAACAGTATCTCCTATTCCCATCAGGCAGTAGGAGTCTGGTAAAGGGTCAGGTATTCCGAAGACCTCACATATTCCATCCAGGGGAGCCAGGAGCTAGAGAACGTAGAGTTATTGTGTTTGATAGAGCTTGTTAGGTCTTCCATAACATAGATATCGTGAATGCGATCTAGGGCGTGTCTAATGTGTGGTGGTTCCGGTTTCAGCCATAGGGCCGGTATGCATGCCCGTGCTGCGTTGACTAAATGCCGGATGAGAGATCGTGTGTTGGCTCGTTCAGGGATCGCATTGTGGTGTAGGAGGAAGAAGGCAGGATCTCGTGGGACCTGGGCCTCTGTAAATTTCTGTGTGAGCGTGTGTACCTTATCCCAGAACTGTTGGAGCTCCGGACAGGCCCAGAAGATGTGAAGCATCCCCGCTGCGGGTTGTTGGCAGCGCCAGCACTGATCTGTGGTTGGGGGAAGGAGTGGTGGCAAAGTAAGGGGGGTAGGTTATATTGACCTGACAAGTGGTAAAGGGTCGGTAAGGAGTGGTTGGGATCTATATGGGGCTGGTCAGCCAGCCAGTCAGGCCGCCGCCGTCGCCGATAATGTTCAGAGATCGATGTCGGTCTGTAATCTATTGGTGGAAATAGGTAAACTAGGGCAGTGTGCAGTTAAAGCAATTAACCGTAAAAAAAAGGATATAACAACTATATCAACAATGAGCTGCTACCCACCGCAGCATCAGGTTATATACTATAGAAAAAGCAACAATGGTAAATCAGAAGAGAGAGAATGAGATATTAATAACAGAAACAACGAGGTGCAATCACCTTCACTTCAAAACAGGCAATACTGAGGGTGCGTTCCAACGGGGAGAGGGGCAGGCAAAAAGCCCCTTCCGGAGCCAAACGCCTCCCCCATTGCGCGCAAGAAGCCCCCGGTCGCTGTAAGCACAAACAATGGGAATACGGGTAATCCAGTAATCATACATCACCCATAAGTAGGAAACGGAGCAGTGAAGTGGGTCACGGTGATGAGTCATCAGGTGCTAGACAAAGTCCCCTGTTATAATCGGGGAATGCGTTTGAAGTCCCAGGTGGCGCAGTCCTGTTGTAGGAGTATGGTAAAGATCATCAACTCAGGATCCTCACAGTTCTCTGGTAGTGGGGTCCCATCCGTCTGTTTGAGTCGGCAGGTCTTCCATAGGTGGCGCCCGAGAGGTACGCTGTTGACCACAGTCTGCAGAGGCTCGGCGTCAGACACAGTGGGTCAGAGGTCGGGTTATCTCAGATATCTCGGGTCGGAGCCAGTCAGGTATCTCCACAGGGGAGGCTTCCAGGAATGAAAATAAGGCCGGCAGCTGATCTGGGTGACGTAGCACGAACGACTCCCCCTGCTTGCGAATACTGAGGCAGAAGGGGTATCCCCAGGAGTAGAGTGCCCCTGCTCTCCGTATTTCAGCCAATAGAGGTTGGAGCAGCCGGCGCATTTGCAGAGTGCGCCTTGACAAATCAGGTAGGAGAGTGGTGTCTGTTTCCTCGTAGGAGATCGGGCCCTTGTGCCAGGCTTGTTGGAGAATGGCCTCCCGTACCGTATAATAGTGGACTCGGCACAAGACATCCCGTGGGCGAATGTCTCTGTCTGGGCGCAGTCCGCCAATCCGGTGAACCCGATCAAGTTCTATGGGAGAGTCGGGTGGTTTGTCCAGCGCGATATTGAGGATCTGGGATACCGCCTCCTGAAGGCCTACAGGTGGTATGGTTTCGGGCAGGCCGCGGAGCTTCACGTTGTTGCGGCGGGAGCGGTTCTCCAGATCGTTGTGGGCCAGCGTCATGGTGGTCAGCCTGTTTTCTTGCCGCAGGACTCTGTTTTCCAGCTCCAGTACCCGTTGGGAGGTGGCACCCTGGTCTGCATGAAGGGAGGTGACCCGGTCCTTGAGTCGGGAGACCGTAGATGTTATACACGCTATGTCCCGCCTGAGGGCTGTCTCCATGCTAGAGACCATCTCTGCTATATCCCGTTTGGTCGGGAGAGACAGCAAGATGGCCGACATCTCACCTGCGGATAGGGGTTCCCTGGTGCCCGATGGTTGTGTGCGGGGCGCGGACACCGGAGGTGGCTGTCGGTCCATGGCAGGGTCACCGTTGGTGTGTGGCACGTCCCCCGGCGGTATCGAGCGTGCTGCAGGCACGGAGGGTAAGGGAGTCTCTGGCAGATCCCGTGTCGCGGACGTCACTGTAGTCCGCAGCGATTCAGAAGGCACCATGCGGCTGGCCGTGGAGGATCGTGTAGAGACAGCAGGCGACGAGAAGAAAGTGTGCAGGTCCCCGGAGGGCGTCCCGGTTTCGTCTCTAAGGGGTTTGCTCTTCTTGGTAAGCTAGGATGTGTGATCATCTGCGGGATGCTCGGTGGGCAGCGGAGCTCAGAGAGTATGCAACCTCACACCGCCATAGTCAGGCCACGCCCCCCGTTTTCTTCTTTGTTGTTCTAGATATTTTTTCAAAAAAAGTTTGATTTTAAAGCAAACCCTATGCCTCTTCCAGCAGCACATTCAAGCATTATTTTTTTACTAAATTAGCTGTATGATTGAATGAATGGGCGCTTGTATACAGGCCCGGCGCTACCGCAAGGCAAGTCAGGCGGCAGCCTGAGGGCGCTGCAGGGTGAGGGCGGAAAAAACAGGGCATTTTAACAAGTACTTGTTTGTATAAACATTGTCATCATTAATGTGTCCCTAGGATGGCCTGTTACCTAAATGTAGACCTGTCTAGTGCTCCACCTGCTAGTTGTAAATATGAATATATTCTGATACTATTATTCATAATTAATTGGCAAAAACTATGAGAAAAGTCAACATTTGTCATAGCCCATAATACATTATTTCTACAGAGCACTAAGCAGTGTTTGTGCATGGGGAGGGGTAATGAGATGCTTCAGAGGCTGACCGCCTAGTGAGCAACCAAATACCTCTAAACTACTCCTGTGGTAGCCCAGCATTAGTATCAGCAACAGCAAGTTTACACTGTACACTCCTTTACATATCATAAGAAAGGCTTCAACACTGATCTAAAAGTATTTTTATACAATGCAATTCCCAGGGCCACAATTCTGCATAATCATATCTATGTGTTTACTGTTGTCTTTTGATGCAGCCCTTGGCCTTACACCATGTTTCAGAGAGGATTTGACCTGGTCCTGGGGGAACAACCGGCCGACAAAATATTCAGGTACATTTTTAGCTTATGAGCACTGTGCTCACTGCTCACAGCAGTTTACAATTCACAGTACATATCAGGCTCAGTGGACAAGGGGCAATGTGAAACGACAACTGACATTTAGTACATTTAATGTAAGCTCAAACTGTGACCTTCACTGTGCCCAGCTCCTTCTATCCACACACTGCTAGTGACAGATGACACGAGTCTAGAATTTTGCTCATGACCTCCAGGTCTAAAGATTTCCTTGGTAACTCTAACCAGTCTGGATACTTCTACTACTTATAAAAATAGCTACCATTGAGTTGTTTGCAGTGTTAACCATCACTAATAGAGAAGGTTACACAATTTATTGGCTGACAATCACGTTTTCTTAGGCATGGCACCATCTCTAAAAAACCCCAAAGGATTTCAAATGTGTGTGTCTTTGTGTCCACTGAGTTAGCTATAAAGTATACCACTTTAACTCAGAGGATGCTGCTTATGTGACATTTTCCAAAGACAGATCAGATTGAGAAAATTGAGATTTGAGAAAGAAGTTTCCCTTAAAAAATTTAACTATCTTCACCTAGTCAAAAAGGGGGGTAGTCAGTGATTCACAACCCTCAGCTTATTAACTTCCACAGGAAAGCTAAGACCTTCTTGCAGTCACAGTCCTTTGCAGAACTCAGCTGTGTTGAGAAATACTGGCTGTTAGGAATATGGCATCTCTGGAAGCATCTTCCTCAAATCCACTCCAAGAAGCAAAGGTGCTCATCAACATTAGAGGGCACCTGTAGAAGAAGAATCCATCATTCCTGGGACTGATGGTGAGGTCCTAAACATAAGCCATGTCATGTGCAGGGAGAAATAAATACAGATCCCCGTTGTTGTTAACTTAAAATATGTTTTCTTTTTCTCTAGAAATTTATTTATTCATTGGGATTAGTCCTCATTAGTCCTCATCTTAAAATGTTTTCTAGAGATACCTAGCTGCGGGGATGTTTGCCATGTCATGATAGGATAGGTCTCTATATTCTAAAATGAGCTGTAACATGAATACTTTTTTTTTTAAATCACCTCCAGGAGGTGTCTATCATAGTATGCTAGTATGCTCATTATGGCAGACTTACCTTACAGGCAATCCCCTCCAGCAATGCGATCTCAGTGATCTCCACCTTTACCGGCGCTTCCTTCCTGTCCCAGTCTTCTTCTGGGTTCCGCATTTTCAGTTTCTTGATTGGCCATACCAGAATGATCCAACTCCAGCGCATGCACATGGCAGTTACTTGATCTCAGTAAAGGACTTTCCCAAAACCTTTCATTTAGCTGCACATGTGTGGCTCAAGGCACATAAACACTGACAGGCAGGGAGAAGCAATTATGAAAGAAGAGACCTACAGAGTCTCTTCTGTCATAAAAACCCCCCCACTTGTCAGCGTTTTTGTTTACTCCTGCTTTAAGTGAAAAATGTAGGACAGCAGTAGGCAGCTTGCTCCCAACTGCCTTGCTTGCTCGAAGTCAGTATAGTATTTATACCCCCCCCCTGCTCTCTTGCATAATTACATATAAATATGGTTATGAAGCTTGGTCCAGTTTGCTCAAACATTAAAAAAAATCCTGTGTGGTCCCCAAAGTCAAGATTTTACTTCGAGGATCCTGTAACATATTTTTATATAATATTTCTCATAAATATTATTAGCCAGTAATATTTTGTGCATTCAGACACACATCTAGCCCTTGTACGAAAACAATTTACTAAGTCTTCTAGAACTGACTCTTGCAGAAAACTATCCCACATTTTCACAGAGCTTACTGGAAAAAAAAAATTGTATAGACTGTGTTGGTATATGATTCTGTGACCTTAAAGCAAACACATTTTTACCCAGTTCACTCTTTGGACCAGTTATGTCTTTATACAGTGTGATCAAATTCCCGATCAATTGCATGTCCCTTATTAATTGAGTAGCCCTTTTCTGCACTTTTTTCAGTTAAATGTCTCTGTGTTCTTTCACTCTTTTAATGAACCGCTGCCCAAAACTAAACTGCATATTCAAAACTAAGGTTTGAGTCTTCGCATTTTAATACAAGAAAGTATCTTGCTTTCTTTAGAAGCTGCGAATTGGCATTGCATGCTGTCATTAAGTCTATCATCTACCAGGGCACCTGGATCCTCCACCACATCCCTTTTTGGCCCATCATTATGATGGGTGACCTTAGTGATCAATAAAAGTGCACTGGACTGAGTGTACCAGCTGTCAATACTATTGAGTTTTAAAATATACACAATACAACATTGTGAGATTTAGAGCATGAGAGAATTTGAAAAAAGGTATAGAAAGATATGTTGTAGTTCTTTAACCTATTCAATACCATTACAGTACTGGCAGGTGTACTTGAAAAGAATACAACTTTAACAAATAATAATTGAGGTTTCATGCAAAAAAGGGCATGACTTTATTATTCATACAGCTAAACCTTCAATTATCGGATTTTCCCTCTAAATATAAATTATAAAATTATTTAAAAAAATATAAATTATTAAATATAAATTAAAACAAAATTCAGACATTGTTTCCTTTGTTGACAGTCAGGCATTGGAGTTTTATCTGAGATATAGATATAATATATTGACAAGGCTGAATTTTAGCTCCCCTTCCTCTCTTTTCCCCAGGGCCTGTGAATATTGATGGTCTTTCTCTTGCTGTAAGGATGGTTTGATGAGGAGCTGTAGTAATGATGTTTGCCTTTAGTCCTGTTTTCATTTATTTTCCATGAATGTATATGAAAAAAAGAGTGGTGACACCTTGTCTCTTTTAACACAGATTTACGTACACTCTGGGAGAGGGTATGTGGCTTCCTCTCAGTAAGAGCTTTGTCATCCCCCCTGCCGAACTGGCCATTAATCCATCAGCCAAGTGTAAAACAGACATGACTGTCATGGAGGATGCTGTTGAGGTCAGGTGAGTGCGTGGGGATCCACAGGGGAGACATAGTGTCAGTGTGTTGTGCCTCTCCCTGTGCTCTGATTAATGGGCCTTCCTATATCAGGGACACATTGTTCTAGTAAATAATGGCTGAATGTTGGATGCATTCTTTGTGCTGCTCGCTCATAAACAGTTACTATCTTACCAAGGCAGCACATTTCTGCCAGATGATTTGTATGTTTTTATCAACGCATCTCTCACTTTTTGCCTATGTCTCAATCCTACCCATTTCCTTAATCTATTTTCCCTTCGCCCTGACCTCTTTCATGCCCCTTTCACTGACTAGCGCTCTCTTTTTCTAGCTTGCCTTGATTTGATATATTTCCTCCTTGTCTCTTCCTATCTATCATCCTTCCCCCTGTTTCCTTTCCTATTGTTTGCTTGGCCAACAGAGAGGAACTTATGACCTCTTCTTCATTTGATAACCTTGAGATTCTGCTAGACTCCTTCGGTCCTGTTCGGGATTGTTCCAAGGGAAATGGTGGATGCAGCAAGAACTTCCGCTGTGTTTCTGATCGTAAACTGGACTCTAGTGGTTGTGTGGTAAGTGGATCTGTAAAGTTACATTAAAAATCTTTTCTATTAGCTGCATACTTGACACAGATATCATAGGGCAGTCTTTAAAAGGCAACCATATTCTCTTTTTATAGTTTTTAGATATACTAGCAAAGGGTGACTGGATAATTCAGTTTTGTGTGTTTAATTTAAATAATTCAATTGTTTGGCTGTTTACATAGTACTTTATAATACTTCAATGACAACTTCCATTTTTAGTAATGTTGTCTTTTAAATATTACCAATTCCCAAAAGAGGCAACCAGCTACATAAATACACTACCTGATCCCCCACAAAAAAAGCCATCACCTGGATTTAGCTAAGCAAATAGTTAAGAGTCATCCATTGGATAATAGGTATAAGTTCAGCAATGTTGTGTGCCCAAAAAATGACGTCAGCTGCATACCTGAACATACTGAATGACCAGGTTTTTTCATCAGTGGATTTTTCCTTCTCTGATGGCTCAGGTATATTCCAAGATCAAAATGCCAGGATTCATGGGTCTCAAATTGTGAAACAGTGGTTTAGGGAGCATGAGACATAATTTTCACACATGGATTGGCCGTCACAGAGTCCAGACCTTAACTCCATCGAGAATCTTTGGTATGTGCTGGAGAAGACTTTGTGCAGGGGGTCTGACTCTCCCATCATCTTTACAAGATTTTGGTGAAAAATGTATGCGACTCTGCATGGAAGTGAATGTTGTGACATTGATGGAGCGAATAATCCAATCTAAAGCCGGCTCAATGAAATATTAAAGTATGTGACTTTTTTGGGAAGGCAGTGTACTTACCTTCAGTAGTTTTCCTTCTGTAGTTGTTCCCAGAGTAAGCCTGCCCAGCAATGGAAAGGCTTTACAAAAAAAATCTTCTCTGTGTTCAACCCTGTATTTAGCCTTTTATTATTATATTTGTTTCATACTCATGGTGGCCCCCCAGATGTCCAGAAAAGTGCTGCTCCAATCATTGAAATGAACATGTCAAGCAGTGCACATGCACAGTAGGAGCTAGACATGTCTGGTCCTTTATTCATCAAATGCTTTGCAGCTTCAGGCAATGCTGGACAGGGAACAACTCGAGGGCATGGCAAACGTTAAGAGTTTGGCTAGAAGGCTGCAATTCAGGGGGTTGAGGGGAACATTTAAAAGACAACTTCACTAAAACTGACGTTGTTCTACAAAGGGTATCTATGGTCAAAAACTGAAAATATATTTGCATGTCAATATTGAATTTCCATAAGATCTATCCCGCTCCTAACCATATCGATCTAAAAGTTTGTAAGCTTACTTATTGAAGATACTTATAGGATGTACGTCCTCAATGCACTGACACGATTTCAATCAGGTCTATGAACATGCACTTGCTGGTGCCACAGCTCTCACAGAGCCTGCCTTCTGAACTACAACTCAACGTCCCAACAATGTAACATTATTGCTTGATGAAAGCTATGTACGATGGGATATGTAGTCTTGAGGGATTGACATTGAATAAGATCAAGCAGCAGGGAAAGAGACTTATAGCACACTGGGAAGCCAGTAGGTGTTGAAAGTGATGAGCAGATGGAAGGCAGCACTCACTGCATAATAGCCATTTTTTCAAGCAAGCTTTGATTGCATTATTAAAAACAACTATAGTAGGTTTCCCTGTTACAATGCTGATATTACTTTAGAACATCTTTAACAAATGTGTTTTGAAGTACCTATCTATGCATTATAAATACTACACAGTAGGGAAAAAATGCTTGCTCTTCAGAAAAAAACCCAGATGGTGCACAAATTGTCTCGCTGTGGTTCTATGAATCCCCTACCTTTTCCTAGGTATTAGGTTGGGGTAGCTTTGGTCATGTCTTGATCAGGTATTGATAACTTCCATTGCTCTCTGTCTGTGCTGTGATCTTTTCAGTTACAGCTGTTCCCAGCTAGCTCTGCGGAGTACAGATGTACAGGTGTACTGCAGTCCTTAAAACACTTTCTGTCCTATGGTGACAACTAGGGATGCACCGATACCGATACTAGTATCGCTATCAGTGCCGATACCAAGTATTTGGGCACACACTTGTACTCACCCAAATCCTTTGATACCTTCCCCGATACCAGGAACTTCCGTTCAGAGGAAAATTTCCTCTGACCGGCAGTGCCGTAGGAGAACATGGAGCCAGCTTCCTGGGCAATCAGGAAGCTGGGTGGCGAGTAATGTCCTGCCTCTCAGCTTCCTGATTGTGTGAGAAGCCAGCTCCATGCTGAATGGCTGGGAAGTCAGCTTCCCCACCAATCAGCATCGAGCCAGTCAAACAGGTGGCTCCTTGCTGATTGGCAGGGAAGCCAGCTACCTGGCCAATCTTCATCGAGCTGGCCGGACAGCCGGCTCGATGCTGATTAGCTGGGAAGCTGGCTTTCTAGCCAATCAGCATGTAGCCGGCTTCCCGGCCATTCAGGGAGCTGGGAGGCAGGTCATTACTGGCCGCCCAGCTTCTTGATTGGCCGAGATGCTGGCTCAATGCTGATTGGCTGGAAGCCGGTTTCCCGGCCAAACAACATAGAGCCGGCTTCCCGGGTAATCAGGAAGCCAGGCAGCATCTCATTACATGCCGCCCGGCTTCCTGATTGCCCTGGAAGCCGGGTCCATGCCAGCGGAAGCACGGGTAATGGTACTCGTTATCGACGAATACCGAAAGCAAAATATCGGTACTCAACCATGAGACCGAAAAAACGGTATTGGTGCATCCCTAGTGACAACACTGATCCTCCATAGATACTGTGAACAAGTGTTGTCACCCTAGAAGAGGAAATTAGTTATTGGCAGGATCACAAAAGGAAAATAAAGGAAAGAAAGCCTGAAAAAAAAGAAAACTAGTTGAGTCACCACAAAAGGACTGATAAGCTGCAATATATGACATTTGTGTTTACATACACTTCAACGTGTACAACTTAAAAAATGCTTGATTACATCTCCCATGCTAAATGGCGCAGATGTGCGAATATTCCCTGCTAGGTCATTGTATTGTGACAGCGGTGGATGTGCCACTTTCAGAATACCTGAACAGTGACTACAGCTTAATTTTACTCTAGGCTCCTTCGACAAATAAAAACATGTAATTTATTGGAGGGGTACCGACAGGGCCACACACTGCTCAAACTCAGCAGGACTCGGCCAAAATGTAAGCAGTGTATGGTCATCTTCCAGTGAGGAAGCTAGACATTCTGTCATCCGGGGGCAAGACTCAAAATTGCTCCCCCTCCAAGGGAGAAGTTCTCCATCCACACACCCAGTGACACCCCTACTAATGCGACACCCTGGGCACATGCCCCCCTAGCTTCGGCCCTGACACTTTTACACTCTAAATCTTACTGGCAGATGTAGAGAACAGCACATCGAGGCTGGAAAGGCAAGTAGAATTTTACACATAGGCAGTTGTAATCAGCCTTTGCCAAAAATGAAAGTAACTTTTTTTATTGGAGAGGCGGTCTCCTTTAAGTATTCAAGTAGAGCAATGGTGATAACAGCACAGAAGTCATTCCATTGCACTATCCAATCATCATTATTTTTTGAGGACTTCAGAAGGTGCTGTGATAACATTTCAGTGTGTTGCCCCTGAGCATCATGGGAATAGTTCAAATGAATTTACTTATAATAGACCAAATTCCTGCCCTAGTAAATAGCAGCATTAACCCCTTCACATCAGCAGCAGGGGGTCCTGCAGTGGATGTCAGAGCAATTTGCTGCTGTCCCCTTGACATTGAGTGGCTTAGAAACTCAAAGGCTTGCAAAGTCTTCTGCAATATGTGGCTTCTAATGGCTTTAATACATCACAGTCATCTGGTTCAGTTAACTGGGTCATGTGGCATGCACCAAGAGTAATCTGGTACTCTGTTACCTATTACACTATTTAATAGACATTAAACACCCGGTCCACCTCTGCAGCAATTCTTCTATGAATCATAATCAGCAGACATGTATGTCTGCTTCAACGTGAGTTATCTCAACTTGGTATGACTAATGCAGATACAAATCACACACTGCAAGTACATGCCAGGGAACCTTGTTTTTTTTATTGTTATATGCCAAAAATGTCCCTCTGTCTTCTGACTCATGATTTTTTTGCTTAATAGTGGGGGAAGGAAGGTTTTAAATTCCTGCTTCCGTCTCTCTTAAAAGTCAAATCCACCCAAAACTAACATTTTGGATTTGGGTTGGTGCCGTGAGATTGAATAACTCTGATTTCTTACTCTAATAACTCTTTAAAACTCCAAAACGGACATCACTGCAAGAAAAATTAGAGCTCTCCTACCTTTGGGGCAGGTAAGAGGCAGGGCAAGTGTCCTTCCACTGTATGTTTTTTTTAATGTAAAATTTTAATGTAAAATGTGTACATGAATTTTCATTACGGCAACATGGGAGGCATATACAGTATATAAAATACTAAAGCTGAGGCTCCTAGACCTGAAAGGCTTTCGAGATCCAAATTTCAGAATGCAATTCGACCCGAATGGCATTTGGGTGCTCCCCAATGCAGTTCCGAAATTCGGATCCCGAATGCCATTCGTGTCTAGGAGATTCAGCTTTAGTAATAATATCTACATATGGCTTTCTATTTTACTCGCAACAAATATTCATACACTCATCCGAAACTAATGAAATTCAGATTTCGCCCGAATCCGAAACCCGAACCGAATTGAATTTCGGATCCGAATTCCGAAATATCCAAACCCGAACCGAATTGTTCCACAGCTTACATGTCTAGTCTTAATTATCAATGCTTACATGTATTTTAATAAGTACCTCAGGATGTATTTATACTAGGCCCCTATAAAGCACTTTGCATCTTTAGTCAGACTAGAAAGGGACAGTACTGCAAGACAGCCAGGCTTCACAGCATTGCACAGCGCTATTAACTTAACAAATGGAGCATGATGATTGTTGGGAGAGCAGAGAACCCAGTGTTGATTGAGCTGTATTGCTTTGGCTACAGCAGTGAAAAAAATAAAGTGG